TTTCTACGATCGCTGGATTCTTTTGCCTCCCGTTTCGCAATTTCGTAAGTCGTTGGATTCAAATGAACACGAATTAATTTTTAATACCTATAATTATTCAATTCATCAAATTTAATGCAGACATAATGTCGCAAAAGAACTAAATATACATTGTCATAAATGTTTTTGTTACTACAAAATTGCAATTTGATGTTGGATTTAACTTATTGCTCGCAAAATATCGTGAAAAATTATTTTTAATGCATCTATTGGATTGTAAATACTGATTATGAGTTTCCATAATTAACATCAAACAATTTGTAATTATTTGATGATTTTTGTATATACTTAAAATTTTTGTATATACACTTCAGAGTATATCAATAATTTAGATTTAACTTGTCATTACAACACAGCTCAAAAAATAAAATTTTCCAGAAAATAAGTTTCAATACTTTAAGTACGAGTATATTATTTTCTTTATGTTTTCTTTTTTATTATTTTTCGTTATATTTCTTTTTATAAACAATTAAAAAATAACAATTTTGTATTATTATCATTGTTGTTGCAAATAAACGTTATAATATTAACCTGGTTAATAATATTTGCCTGGCGGTAGATTATTTACTAAGACAGAATAAAAAAAGATCCTTAAAATTTTCAAAAATTGTTCATATAATAGCTCCTAAAAGCCAATATATAACTTTACGATAATTTTTGTGCGTATCAATCTATTTTTAGTTTACATTTTAATTAAAATATATGTTTGTTGTAATCAGTTTAAAAGCGATATATTAAGTACTAGAAGCGATATATTAAATACTTGTATACTAGATCTTTATTTGTAAAAATCTTTTTATCTAATCATTACAAATTGAAATTACTCATTAACCGAAAACTTTTGGTAGTCATTGTAGGTTTCTCTTATATTTTAAGAATGTAAAAGGATTAAATTCGAAGATTACTATTTCTTTTTACTGCTCTATGAATTATATTTATCGCAAAACAACTTTTTGATCTAGTAGAGTATGGATGGCCCCATTTCTTTTAAATAATTTTCCAAAGTATATCTTCAAAGAATCAAAAGATTCTTTATGATATTACGATGGCCTAACTCTTCTATCGTACTGATATCTCCGCCATTACGGCGGCAGAGAAAACATGGGGCCAGTCTTGGGGCTTTTAAAACGATGAAACGATAGGTGGGTAGATAGGTAGGTAGCTAAGTAAGTAGGTAGAAAGATAGGCAGGTACATGACTTGTAGATGCTAGCGTGTAGGTAGATAAGTGCTCGCATATGGTGTAGCAGACAGTCTGACCGTATCTCGCGTATTAAAGAAACTATTCAGTGCCTCGTATAACCCTTATTTACCATTATTTTAAACATAGATTATAAATATGCATGCGTTTGCAAGTTCAAATTTTACATGTACAATTCAAATTTTATTTTTATTCCGTATACTTTTATAATAGTAATAATTTTATAGTAATACAAACATATCCACTTTCTATTAAGATACAAGTGCATCAATTAATATTTTTAAACGCTACTCAGACTGTGTTTCAAAATTCACTATCAGTGCTGATACGAAAATATATAGTACACATGACGTAAAATGTAGATTTTCAGCATTGGCAGTGAATCTTGGAACATGCAGCCTTAATAGATATCATTTGAAACAAGATCTTTTGAAAGATTTGTATGGCATTTACTTAGGAGAGTAGCGTATGTTTTTTATCAATATCAATTTCTTGTAACTAATATCTAATTCTTTAAGTATACATATAAATGATCGTCTCAACCAAACCCTTTCGTTTATGCTTCGCTTGGCTTCGTAACTTAAGGACAAATTCACTGAAGCTATATGACGCTACCTTGTTGGGATACCGTTAATCGCCAATGGCTAGAGCATATCATCGCCGTGAGAAATTTCAATCGCATAACAGACATCGAGCGCTGAATAAAAATCCCAAAAAGTCAGAATTGAAGCATTCTTGCCGGAATTGTCAAATGTCAAGACTGAAAGAAACGCAAATCTAAAAACATTATTCGTTTGCTGTAATAACGATAAGTTAAAGGATGAAGTTTTCTAGAAAATATGTTTGAATGTTTTGAACTATATTAAAATTTTGTAATTTTTATTGTGAAATACAATTTTGATATGGTAACTGATGACTGTAGGAATAACAATATGTATTTTTTAAGTACATATTTTCTTTTTTTTTTATGTTTTTGTTCTTTTTTGCAAGCAATTCAGAAATCACAATTTTTTATTTTTTAATTATATATCGTTATTGCAGCAAATGAGTGAATGAGATCATCAAGCATAAAGTTCTCTTACTTTCGCGCTACTTCGGAATTTATTCGAAGTAAGGAGCGCCGCACTTTTTTTCCCGGCGCTTTTACGCGGCATGATTACGGCCCCTCGTCTCCGGGATTGCGGCTTCCTCGTTGCGACAATCCATAATCACGCGACCGCGCCGGCATATTGCGGGACCATTTTTCGCGCGTGGCTCGTAGTGCAGCTGGTATCGGTTGCTGCGCGGCATAACCACACGCCACCACACTACCACGATGCAACTGCAGTCTGCACGACCACGCCCTGCGTGCTATCATCGCGTACCTAACGCAGCGTGCCTTGATATATCCGCGCGACTGAGCCTTACATCATGGAATGAAACGCAATTGCATTTCGCGTACGATATTTGCGGCCTCCGTGTTGCACCGCGTTCCACGTGACCGCGATCACGACACTCAATACAACGCGGGCCGCGGATCGCGGACGCTGCACTGTGCCACTGCCGAGTGTCGCGCCGGCATTTTATCGGACGAACTGCAAGAAATGTGAAATTACACGATCGTGTCGTTTCGTAAAATATCGAAAAGTTGCCATCTTACGAAAACTTTTTGTAAATCAAATAAGTAAAAAAATACCAAATATGGTATTACCATGAGCTGGATTTTAATACAAAGACTTTACTGGAGTTTGGAGGAATATAAAATATTGTTCATATATGTAATTATATATAAAATTATAATTATGTATGAGCAATTTTTTATATTTCTACAAATTTTGATTTTTTCCAGAACAAACAATACGAGAATTATACCTTTAATTATTTTTTATATTTTCTCATTATTATTATTTTTATTACACTAAAAAGTAATTTTACAAAAGAAAAAAGTATAAACATGTATGGGCATATTTCATATATATTATATATATGTTTATACATATTTACATATATCTATGCATGAAAAAATTCTTACCAAGATTCTAGTAACCAATTTAAATATTTTAATTATTTTGATAATTCAAACAAAATTATTTGTAAATTTATATCTAATTAAATTTAAATACTTTAACAAAACCACTCTTGTAATATAATATTCTATGTAAATTTCTATGTAAATTTTAAATATATCTCATTATATAAATTACGATTACTGGAACTTTATTTAAAAACGCGAACTGAAGCTAAAATAATAAAATTATATTGATCATCAATTTAATAAGTTCTTAATAATTAAGTTCTACAGTATTTATTAGCTAGAAAAAGTTTTTATATAGTGAAAAGAGTTTATTGCAAAAAATTTTACTTTTTGTAAACCTTTTTTTTTTTGGACGACTGTAGAAAATAATTCGTTCTTTCTTAAATCTTTTGCATCTAATAGATAAATTTTTTATCTAATCTAATAGTAATCTAAATGTTTTTTAATCTTGCGACATGGATTTTGCATAAGGTAAAATATCAGTTACTCCAAAATTTTTGAAATTTTAGATTGAATTTAATTATGTTACAATAGAAAAATGAGAGTAATGCTGTTTAAGTATTTCGCAATCAGTTTAAACAGAAAAGCGGAAATGTAGGATAAATTTATATATCACTTTTGATTGCCGTGACAAATCAACAAAACAGTTAAACGATGAATTAAACGATGTCAAATCCTATCTGAAAACGAATGTCATGCTTCCTTGACGTTCATTCATCGCGTGACAATGTCATTTGTCGGCTGCGAATAGCTTTATCGGTCAGCGAACCGTGAGAATCATGCGAGATAACAAACGGTTAGGTCATTCCGCGAGAAAATGCAATGCGGCTTCGTGTCATAAACCTCGACCCTGAATTTCCATCGGCCATGCCACGTGCATCCCATATTCAGGAAACAAACGGTAAAACCCGAGCCGGCTTTAATGAGGGCAATGCGACAAAAGTTATGCTTATGAAAATGAGGCTGATGACGTTTAAAAATGATTGTGTTTTTCGTAAAAAAATAAATAGAACATGGGAAATCAAATTTGCAGAACACCGTATAAACACAGAAGAACTTGCTGAAGTGTCTACCAATTTAATTAGATATAAATCTGAAAATAATTTTGTGAAACTATTGGAATAATATAGCATAAAACATACATGTTTTATTTATTATTTATTATTTTTAGATCTAGTTAAAATTTTAGATTTATCAGCAAAATCTTTTTTTTCCGAAACTAATATTTATTCCTTGGAAAGTGCACAATATATGTATATAAATGTATATATCTACACACACACACACACACACACACACACACACACACACACACACGCACGCACACACACGCACGCGCCCACACACACACACACACACACACACACACACACATGTATTTTCCAATTGTGTATTTTTTAATATATATGATAGGACTTTCTATAAATTAATATAAAATTTAAGATTAGAATAAAAGTAATGCTAATTGATATAAAACGTTTTCGCGATATAATATCTAATTGTGGTATTTCTTTACTGATATGTCGATTACATTAACAGTTGCAACTGATTGTAAGTTATTTCAAACCTGCAGATTTAGGATATATCTAAATAATTTAACGGTAGCTCTCACTAATTAATCCTAGTGTACAAAGCGAAAAGCTGAATTAATAATCGTGAATATGTAAGATGGAATTAAATAAAATTGGAAATAGAAAATTCGTTAAATATTGTTAATTATATTGAACCGTGTGCTTCTTTTTACTAGAGTGGCAAACATAAAGTCATACTCACGTTTAAGCATCAATTCAATATAGCATCAATTCAAAATAGTGCCTCTAAATGCAGAATTTCCTGCAGTGCTGCAATAGAAGGTACACCGCATGCTGCATCATTGGGTGACAGACTTCTAACCGCAAGTGGCTCGAAGGAGGAAGGAGGAGAACAAGACGCGGAATGAACTTACACAATTGCCAATCGAATCGCACGAAAGAAACGTTGGACTGACTAGACGGTTTATGATCTGGTGTTAGATACCACTTTCAACTATTGTACTGATCAAGTAGATCGCTGCAAAAAAAGTTTTAGTAATCATCGGTATCGTAGGATGCTTGGAATCATCCCAGATTATACGGGAAAATCGATTTTGTCGAAGGATCTAAAAAAAATAACTAGGTACAGATCTGGAAAAAAGATATAAAAAACTGAAAATAACTATAGACATACAGATCTAATAATAAACTTTCTCTTGAATCATTAAAATAATTACGTAAAAAATTCAAATATGATAAGGAATGAAGCAGAATTAAAATTTTGATAATCCAGCAACCAGTTTAAGCGTCTTACATAATTATTTTGATGGTCCAAAAAAATTATTTTTAGATTTGTGTCTGTCTAAATTTTTAAATATTTTAGTTAAATTGTCCTTTCCATGTAAAATCTGTAGCGTGAAGTAGTTTTTGAGAACAAATTCAACATGCTAAAAAAAAAAAAATTAAGGATTCCTTGGTCTTCGACAAGACAAAGCGCTGTGATCACAATGACAATAACAAAAGAGGAAAAGGTTAGTACATGAGACCGTTCGTCACAAAAGCAAACTTGTTAAAGCTACCTTCACGCACACAATTCTCACAAAGGCACTTGAAAACTTATATGAAAAATATATCCATGCTCAAAAATACATAGCTTGGATCCTTACAAATTGTCCGTTTGGAATAATTTAGTTTAAATGAAGTAAAGGTTTTTAAAATTAATTAAGAGTTTACTTAAAAATATTTGGGGTAATTTAAAGTGTATAAAAGGTTAATTCAAAATAATCTAAGAATTTTTAAGTATTTCAAGGCTGATTTTAAAATAATCCTAAAAAGATCAAAAGTTTTATTATTTCTATTGCATCTGGAATTTTTAAAATAGCTTTTAAATTTTTAAATAAGTAAGACTAAGTTGGCATAAAATTCCGTAAACAGTAACCATTCATACGTGACCAGATGAATGAGGCAATGTTGCATTTTCTCGTAAGATATGTATAGAATAGAATAAAAAGTAATGGCGTTATACGATTGCTCATTCATGTTCTAATGAAATAATTTTTTATATGAGATGAGCTTCCTTTCACAAGTTTTTAAATTTCTTTAGTTCTTTAGTTCTTTTTAATAAGTTTAAAAATTTTTTGTTAAATTGAATATGGATAAAAGAAATTATAACAGTATTTTTTACATTTAACGCGTCGTCGAATAAGAGACACCGTTACGTAAAAAAAAGAAAAAAATCTGAAGAAACAGAGAAATACTTATTATTTCGAGACTTTGTCGATGTCAACCGGAAATTATATCACGCCTTGTTACATCGAGGACTGAATCCGCGCTTGCCAATTCATCCAAGACGTAGACGCGATTACGGTAATACTAAAGTAATCAGGCCATGTAGTTCCATTCACTAAGAAACAACGGCGTGTAAAATTCTCATGGAGCTACAGTCGGGTGCGTTATTAGGCTTTACGTAAAGGGTAACGACAGAGATGTCTTTCCGCGATATTTTAATTCAATTCTTTCTCTATCTCGTCTAACAATCAATTTCGAAACTGCGTCAAACTGTGCAGTTTCCAATTTCTTCATGACACATACTTACTCTGCTAAGAATAACCATGAACGCAAAAAGTATTTGTACAAATGAGATTTTTATATAAAGTTTTATTTATAAAAAATAAATATTAATTAGCAATTTATTAATTGATGAGTTCATTCTGTCCTAAATATAGACAAAATAGTTTCACGAAGATAAATGTTCATGGTCTTAAAAGATAAATTTTTCGACTCTATATATACGAATACTTTTTGCATATATTTAAGTAAAATATATGCAATATACAAAATTTCATTTTTGCTTATTATCAAGAGAACATATTTTAATTATTATCATATTTTTTTAGGTAAAATAATTTTGAGAAATATATAACTATTTTATTCTCTGTTAGTTGCTAATGTTCATTTTTTAAAATAATTGATTTTTTTTTTTTTTTTTTTTTTTTTTTTAAAAAAAT